GGGGGCCCCTTTGGGCTTTGGGGCCCCCTCTTTGGGCTTTGGGGCCCCCCCGGGCGGGGGGCCTGAGGGGGGGCCGCTTTGGGGCCCCTCCTTTGGGCTTTGGGGCCCCCTGGGTGGGGGGTCTGTGTGTAGGTAGGAACAAGGGGGGTCCGCCTTGTTCCTGGGGGCTGGCCTGTCAGGGTGGGTGGGGACGCCCCTCTTGCTGGGATGCCCCTCTTGCTGGGATGCCCCCAGTCCCAGGCATGGAGGAAGAATGCAGCACTTAAAAGAGCTGGCACTTAAAAGAGCTGCTAGCAGAGGAGGGGGGTGGGCCTGTGCTCTCTGCTATAGCTCTGCAGGTGTCTTGCTGCTCCAGGCTTCTGGCAGGAGGCTTGGGCTGTTGCTCCCACACTGGGGGGGAAGTCTTCTTGGGGGGCTGGTGGGATCCACTGGGCCAGGGCACCTCAGACTGGGGCTGCCTGGCTGGGCTGGGTGTTCCCCCCCAAGGTGGGCTGGGAGCTGAGCTTGCCCCACTTACCCACTTTGAGGAAGGTCTTGAGCTCTAGGGGCCGGATGGCTGGCTGCTTTTCCAGGTGCCCATAGGCCTCAGCGATGCTCTCCACCTCCACCTTGGGGCACCTGAAGAGCTCATAGGTCCCATCCCGGTTCTGGATGAAGCTGCGTGTGATCTCCAGTGGCAGCTGCCAGCAAGTATGGGAGCACCCAGGTGAGTGGCTGGGTTAAGGGGCAGCAGTGGGGCTGGGGGGCTGCCTCCCCTCCTTACCTCAGGTGTATCAAAGATCTGCTTGACCTGCAGGACGTTGGTGATGTGCCATGTGTACTTGGAGAAGGTGCCCAGGGGAAGGGCATCCTTGCGGACAAAAGCTGTGGGGAGGGAAAGGGCAGTGAGGGGTGGGGGGGTGTAGCTCACTGTGAAACCTGGGGTGCTTTGTTTTCACCCTGTTCTCCCCCTTTTTCTTTGTTTTCTTTGGCCTCAGGTCTTCCTCCAGCTTGTAGTTACCTGCCTTCTCTGGGAGGCAGCCCCAGCTCCTGAGTGTCTGACTTTGTCCTTGCTGGTGGACTCTTCCCCATGGCTCTGTTAATACCTACTAATAAAGTGAATTTTAACTGATGTTGGGCTTCAGAGATGTGCTTTTTGTCTCAGCTTGTACTGATGGGGACCCAAATGGGGCTGGTGTTGGTGGTCCTGGGGCCTTGCTGCAGCAGAGGCAGCGACTTGTGCTCCTGCAGTGCTAATGTGATGTATTTAACTTTATAGAGAGCCCTGAGTGCGTGCTGAAGTTTGGCTTTATACTCCACGCTTGTGTAGTAGAGAGGGTGTAAAGCGGCAATGATACTTGCCAGCATTGAGGGTGGTGATGTGACCTGCCCTTTGGCTCAGAGGCAGAGCTCAGTGGAGGTGATGTGGGGAGTAAAGTCTCAGCTTTAAGCCTCACTGGGGTTTACTCTCACAGCCCTGGCTTGTGCTACTCTTGTGCCCTGCTAAATGCTGAGAGAGCCAGTGCTCATGATCAGGCTGGGGCTTTAGGCTAGACTTAGGTGTGAGCCAATGGCATTGCCCTGCATAACAGAGGCTGTGTCTCCTGCTTAGCTTGTGTCCTCTGCCCTAGGGCTTGGTTGCACAGCTGCACTATTTCCCACTTAGCTGCAGGGAGGGGAAAAGCTGCTCGAAACCAAGGGGGACCAAGGAATCTTTTCTCTTGGTGTGGCTGCTGCTGGTTTTTTTCCTCCAAAAGCAGCCTGCCTTAACCAGTAGGCAAAGGGGCTAGTCTGCATGTAAGTGTGTTTGTTTCTTACCTGTAGTGGAGTTGGGCAGCCTCTTCTTTGTGCTCCCGCTGGAGATCCTCTGCTGCAGTGCGTCAAAGAAAGCCTGAGGGATGTGGAACACCAGCGGCTCAGGCTTGCCTGTTGTGGGCATGAACAAGAAGACATGGGGTGAGGCAGTGGTGGTGTTCAAGCACAGCCTCCCCCCATACTCCTCAAGGTTTCAGTATCTTCACTACTGCTGCCTCCAACAGCTGGCTTGAAAAGCACTGGTGGGATCTGCTGCCCCTTCGCAGTAAACTATTTTCTTGAATTCAGACTTTGTTACTTTACTTTGTGACCTTTCCCCAGACCCTCTCTCCCCTTAGCTCAGGCAGTACAGCAACATCTAGTCTTGTGAGGAGCTCCTTTTAGTTGTTAAGCAGCACTTCACTTTTACCCACAGTTAAGGATTTTTCAGTTTCCCATACTCTGCCATCAAGCAGGTGCAGAAGCTGGGAGGGAACAGGGCCAGGACAGCTGCCCTGAATTAGACAAAGGGATATCCTATACCACAGAACATTGTGCTCAGTATATAAACTGGGGGGAACTGGCTAAGGGGGGGGATGGCTGCTCGGGCATCTGTCAGCAGGGGGTGAGCAATTGCACTGTGTCACTTACTTGTCTTTTCTTGGGTTATGTTTATTTCACTCTTTGTTATCTTCCTCTTCACTACTATCAATCATACTTTATTATTAAACTGTTCTTAACTCAGCCTGTGAGTTTACTTACTCTAGATTCTCTTCCTCATCCCATGGGACAGGAGCAGGGAGTGAGCAGCTCTGCGGTGCCAGTTGCTGACTGGGGTTAAAGCATGCCAGAGTCCCTTCTGCCTCGAGCTATTCTAAGATCTTCCTGAGCAGTGACTCCTCCCTCATGCTGTCTGTGCTCCAGGTGACAGCCCTGGCTCATTGCTAGGGACCCCAGTCCCTCTATTAGCTCTGCCATCCTGTGCTGGACCTGTTCCAGCATGTCCCTGTCTGCCTCATCCTGGGGAGCGTGGCAGTGGGGCTGTGCCCCTGCAGCCTGTGGGTCACTCTGCTAAGTGAGTAAGTGAGGGTAATGCTGCTGAAGGGGGCCAGGTGGTGGCAACCTGTCTTCTTTACGAACCACAGATTCATTTAGGTCGGAAAGGACCCTTAAGATCAGTGAGTCCAACCATGAGCTGAACACAACAGACTGTGGCTCGTAGCTGTTGCTGCCAGTGGCTGCATCCCTGCATGCTTCCTGCACTTAATGACACCTTGCAGTGACAGCTGCTGAATAGCAGGACGTGTGTGTTTTTGTTTGTTTGTCCTATGTGACAAACTAACTCACAGTGCTCTTATGTTGCTTGGAAAGAGCTTCTCCCCTTCAGGCATTTTTTGGGGGTCCTTCTCTTCAAGTGAGCCCAGCAGCACCTGCCTGCCAGGCACACCTCTCCCAGCAGCCAAGAAACTTACTTACTTACAAAGTACATCCCCATTATGGATTTTTACAGCTCTAACAAACACAAGCTGCTGCCTTGGGGTGGAGGACAGGACAAAGATGTGCCCTGCTGCCCACACAAGTCCCGTTCTGCTCACTCGCTGGGGCAGTGGAGCAGTGCAGGTGGCCGACAGTTTTCCCCCCCCCCCCCCGTTATTACAGCCACAAGCCATTGCCTCTAGCCATATGTGCAGGGGGGGCACCAGAGCCCTGCCATTGAGACGTGGTGGGGGTGAGGGAGACAGCAGAGTGCTCTGGACAGCCACAGGAGGAAAAGTGGATTGCCAGCATTTCTGAGACCTAATGTCACGTGAGGCATCTCACCTTACTTTACCTCACCTCCTCTGCACAGCCCCATGCAGTTTGAATTCAAGCCTCTATAAGCTCTATGGGAATTTCTCCCTTCCCCACGATAAACAACACCAACACAAACCAAACAAACACAAACCAAACAAACACAAACCAAACAAACACAAACCAAACAAACACAAACACCAGGCTGCTGATAAGCATTAAGCCCACGTTCAAGAAACAAATCAAAGCCAACAGAAACTTCCCAAGGTAAAATAACAACATTTGCACCAAGCTGGGCAAAGCACTCGCCTCCCTCAGGGCTAACAGTTAGTTAGTTATTTAATGCTGCCAAGAGCTTAATGACAGAGGTGGCGTGCAGAGCGGAGAGATGCCCAAAGGCTCTCCCGAGGTGGTCCTCGAAGCCTTACCCTCAAACTGGTAATGCATGGTTTGATGGATGCGTTCGGTGACGCTGGCCAGCCAGTCCTGGAAGGAGAGGGTCACCTGTGACTCGTCCAGCAGCTGGGTACAGCCTGCAAAAGAAAGGGAAGGGAAATCAGAATCCACATCGGCATACAAAAAATTGAAGTGCCAAACCAGACGGGCAGGAGAAATAACCGAGCCTGAGCGGCTGCCCCGCAGGCGCAGTTCCAGTCCAGTATTCCCCGTTTTACCTGCACGAGTTTCCCCGGCAGCACAGACACGACTCCCTGTGTTAAACAGAGCTCAGAAAGGCAGCAGGACAACAAACAAACAAACAAACAACAACAAAACTGTCTTTCCACCAGCTCGATGATTTAGATGCTGCTGCCTTGGGCACCTCGCTCCCAGGGCTTGGAAACGCAGGACTGCTTTAACTGTGGCCATGCCTTCTTTTAAAACCCCCGTCTGCTCTCGGCAAGAGCTGCCGCCTCAGCACTGTGGTACAATTACGCCGTCTCACCGGGCAGCTGCCTTCGCAGTTCCAATCCCCGGGAGCGGGACCCGACACGTCCTCCCCTCCCCGTGAGCGCCGACACGCTCCCGGGGGCGTTTGCAGGAGCCAACCGAGCCATCGCAGGCTGTGGGGCGAGATGGATGCGCTCTGTCTCAGGGGGGAAGGGGAAAAATAAGAAGAGATTTGTACCACTTTCTAGGCCAAAACTAAAGCTAAAAGAGGAACTAAAGCACTAAACAAGAGCACTAAACAAAGGCTGCAACCCTGGCACAGACCATTACGAGCAGCAAGAGCAGCTTTCTCTAAAGGGCTCCGAGTCGCTGGGAAAACCCACAGGTTTTCATGGCATCGAACTGATCCTTCCCTCTTCAGACATCACCTATAAACACGTAGGAACACACAGCCGTCTGCTCATGGACAACAGTTACTACATATGACGTGCCCAAAACAATCTCCCCGAGGTGGCCAGGGTTACCCGCGTTGCCATCGTCTCCTTCACAGCTGGCATGCTCCCCGCACCCGGCCAGATCCCTGACGGTGCTTCTGGGCAAGAATCTGCCACTAGAAACCACCGCTACCCTGGCCGCACGTCCCCTCCGCCCAGCAGCTCTGGACATCATTAAGAGATACCGCATACACCGGCGGTGGGAAAAAAGCAATGGAAACCAGTTCACAACTTCGCCTGAACTGATTCGCCTACCCATTTTACCCAGGAGGGCACTTAATTGCATCAGGAGACATTAATGTAACAACGGCTGTCCCACTCACTCCCGCACTGGCACCACCACAAGCCAACTTCTTTCAGCTTGCCGCACCAAGAAATCCACCAAAGAGCGAGCCACCCCGGGAGCGTGCTGGCATCGTCCCTCTCCGACAACCACACTTACAGCCAGCCAGAGCTACACCAGCACCCGAAGCTACGCAAGACACACACAGCTACCGGTAACACCGAGGGAGCAGGGAGGGTGACGGAGCCCAATTTCGCCTCCTAGAGCCAGGGACGGATGGAGAGGGCTCGGCCATCCCCTCCGCAGGGTTTACGGCGGCACGAATCAGACAGCCGCGGGCGTCTGCCCGGTCCCCGAGCGCTCCCGACCGCCGGTGAGGTGCACGGCCGAAGCTTACCTTGTCTTTTCAGCGAGGAGGCGACGGCCGGCTTCTTCAGGCTGCTTCTCCTGGGGTTGCTGTGAGCTGGGTCTTGAGCCAGGAGAGGGCTGGTTGCCTGCGTCCCTGAGGGATTGTTTCAGAGAGCGTCAGCGCACGAGTCCCGGAGGTCTGCGGGCACCCCATGCCAGCACCCCTGTCACAGGCAGGGTGGGTGGGAGGGAAAAGTCACCTCTCTCCTTAGGGCGGGCTGTCACCACAGCTTTTCCCACCTTAAAACACTGCTGCCAACCACTAAAAGACCCACTCAGACACGGGGCAGGCGTGTGCTCGACACCCAGAGCCTCTCCAAAAGCTCCCACCAGACACAGCCAGCTACGAGTCCGGCAGGTCGTGGCGGGGCTGCCCCTCCTGCAGTCGTGCCAGCTGGGCAACCAACGGCTTTCAGCTTCAGACCACGTCCGCCCCCTCCCACAGAGCCGGCAGCTGATACTCACCAGGCGTCGCATCCTTTTTCCTCTTCTTGGGCTTAGCAGCAGCCACCTCCCCAGCCTGCACCGTGGATTCGGGGCCACTCACCAACTGTGGGACCACCATCCCTTTCAGACCTAGGAGAAACAAGCCTCTGTCCTTAAAAAGCATGTCAACCAAACGCAGCAGTGCTGCGGGGACACGGGGGTCTCGTGTCCCCCTCCCCACGCCAGCACTCCCCCCTGCCCCCCCCCTCCCCGAGACCTCCTAGCACACCCCAAACATCCTCAGAGAAACCCCAAATCCCTGCCAGCCCTGCAGACACACACCTTTCTTTTTTTGGGGCGGGGAGGGGGGGAAACATTGAGATGAGCCATGATTTTAATTCACTCATGTGACCCAGGTTGCTTTCCTCAGGGCAGATTTTCACCTTTGGGTAACTGAAGACAGGGCACACCTACTGGGGTGCACACCCCCCCCCCCCAGGGGGACCAAACCCCAGCAGCTGCTGCCACTGGAGGGGGGTTCGCAGTGAGCTGGGCTTCCCCAGCACTGCTCCAGCCCAAAGGGAAGAGGAGACCCAGCTCCAAGCCCACTCTGGGAGCCAGGGGCAAAGCTGCAGCCCCAGAGAAATCACTCCCTACAAAGCTCTCTGCTTGCAGAGGGAGCGGGGCAGGAAATAAAGCCCCAGCTAACAAAGTGCTGATAGGGAGCAGGTGTAAGGGCAACCCAGGCAAAGCAAAGCAGCTGCCAGGGCAGGAGCGGGAGGCATCAGCCTGACAGGGCCCCTTGACAGCCCGCCCAAATCCTCTGCACATCACCCCCCGCCTACCGCCGGAGTCGTAGGTGAGGAAGTCGGCAAACTCCTGCGCCAGGCTCTCGTCACTGGCGAAGGCGCAGATACAGGCGAAGAAGTGAATGCAGCGCGGCGATGCCGGCGCCTCCTCCTCGGCCGGGCCGCCCTTGCCAGGCTTCAGAGCCTGGCAGGAGCAGGAGAACCTGTGGTCCGTCAGCGTCTTGGCGCTCATTTTCTGGGCGAAGGAGGCATGCAGGTAGCCGAGGCTGTGCTTCTGGCTGGCCTTGCACTTCACCACCAGGACGTTCTTGGTGATCCGCTGCACCAGCGGTCCCGTGGGCTCGGTCGCCAGCTGCCATATGGTTTGTTTGGTTTCGGGCGAAGCCTGCATGGAGTTGAGCACCGAGCTTTTCAGGGTGAGGGGGGTGGCCTCGGTCTGGCAGTTCAGGGCCAGTTTGACGTGCTGGCACTGGTTCTCCACCACGCCTTGCGTGGCCGCTTTCAGACATGAAGGCACATAGCAGCGGCCAGAGCTGAGCTGCGTGATGATGGTCCCATCTACTGTCTGGATGGCCGTCTCCGAGACCCCCAGCTCCACAAAGCACCGGTAATCCGGTCCCCGGTCCCTCTGCCGCACCGAATAAACCTGTAAGTCGGAGCCGGTGATGATCTTGACAGCGTCGACGCCGGGCTGCTTGCGTGTGCCGTAGCGGAAGACAGTCCCGCAGTTCTTGTTCTTGCAGCTCAGGCCTCGGGTGCCGTTGTAAGTGCCACAGCGGGGACATTTCCGGATACCCCGGAGTGTAGCCTTCCCCAGGTCGGACAGGAAGGAGGGGACTTTTGTCCTCACCGATGCTGGCTCCATCCTCCGGGGAACCTGGAAGGGCAGAGATTGGTGGGGAGGGGTGAGTTAACAGCCTGGGAGGGGCAGATGGAACAGGAGGGACAGCGGGGACGCAGCCGTCCTCGGTCCCCAGCAGCAGCAGAGACAGAAGGGAGAAAGAGAGAGAGCGGGGGGAAGCGACCGCCTGCCCGGTCCTGGCGGGATGGGCAGGGGTCCCTGCCAGCCACCGTGCCACCCCGTCGCAGTCCCACGTCGGCTACTTCAGCTCCTTCCTTGCCACCGAGGGCCGAAGCGATGCCCAGGTGTGACATGACACACCACGGCAGCATGACTCCCTTCATGGAGCGACAAAGTGCCACCCCTGGAAGGGCCGGACCCTGCCGCCTCCACCCTGGCACCCACCCCCTGCTATATCCCAGTCTCAGCCGCGTAGGAGGAAAATGAAGCTAAAAAGAGAGATTTTGGCACGTGCACACTCGTGGCCCAAGCCACGGGTTCACCCTCCCTGGGGGCAAATTAAATTAAATAAAGGATGTGGGACATAAATAAAGGGGGGGGGGGGGGAACGCGCGGGCGAGGGGGCTCAGAGAGCCCCCGACCAGTTGCCAAGCGTGCCAGAGCCGCCCCGAGCAATGCCGAAGTGGAAACGGCAGTCTAAGGCAGCGACAGTGGGGAGAAACCCCTGCACGAACGGGACAGAAACGGGCCGATTCCTTCCCGACCCACCCGTGTCAGGTTTTTGGCAGCAGGCCGGCAGCCGAGGCTTCGAGCCAGCCTTTGTGCCCAGCGAGGGCAGCAGGCGAGAGACGGGAGACACCCGGGCAGAGGCGAAAGGGAGGTTTATTGTCACTGCCGGAGCTGCAACGCCTCGGCACCCAGCACCTCAAAGTGGATGCGATGAGACACGAGACACGGGGGATGCCGAAAAGCTGCTCCTGAGGCAATTTACGCCGGTCCCGGGATCACAACGGTCATTTACGTGGGATCAAGCCTGCCAGCACCGGGAGGGATGAGCTCCCGGCCCAACTACAAAGAGAACCGGGGGTCTGTGCCAGGGCACGGCTCACCGGGGGTTCCCCTGACGTCCCCCCGCCGCCGGGGTGAGAGGAAGGGCCAGAGGAGCCCACCGAGAGGAGAGGAAGGACCAGAGCTTGCCCAGCGGGGACCAGCACAGACGCCAACCCCTGCACCGAAGGCCGGGCCGGGCCCCCCCCGGGAACGGGACCGGGAACGGGACCGGGAACGGGACCGGGACACCCCGCGGGGCCGGTCACCCGGAACGGGGCCTCCCCTCAGCCCCGGTCACCTCACGACCAGGCCCCGGATCGCCTCAGCAGTAGGCCCGGGCCCCCCCCCACCATCCCCTCCCTTCATCTGGGGGGGGGCGCGTCTTCAACGGCAACGCCTCGCCCACCCTCGGCCCCGGGGCGGGCGCTGCGCTGACGTCACCGCCGTCGCCGTGACGTCGCACCCCGCCGACGGGGCGGGAAGGCGGCGCCCCCCACCCCCTCTCCCGCCGCCGCGCCGTTTCCCAGCATCCTCCCCGCCCCTTGATGTCACTTCCTGTCCCGCGGGCGCAGCCTCTCCCCTCCCCTTACCTGGGCGGCGGCGCGCGCGCCCCCCGCTCCTGCCCGCACCGCCGCGAGGGCGCTTCAGCCCCACGCCTCCGCCATGGCGCCCGCTCGCTCGCTCTCATTGGTCAGACGACGTCACGTGGGGCGCCGCGGGGGTCGCTGGGAGGTGTAGTCCGCGGAGGCGCCGCAGCCGCGGACTACACCTCCCAGCGACCCCCGCGGCACGCTTGTGGCCAGATTTACTCGATTCGGGCCCTTTTCCCCCCAAATTTCCCCCAGCAGCCGCTCCCTTCCCGCCCGCCGCGGCCCGGGGAGGGCGAGAGCCGGCCGCGGGACACAGAACAAGAAAAGAGAGCACACAACAAGCTTCGATTTTGGTTTTTTTTTCCCTTTTTTTTTTTTTTTTTGTTTTTTTTTCTGAAGGCTGGTCAAGAGGTAGGACAGAAAAGGTCGGTTTTGGCCTCTGAACATTGCAAAAGACCCGGTTTGCAAAGCTCCAGTCGCCTTCCGCTAGCTGGGTGAAACGGACTCTCAGCACGACCCGGGAGACGGGGGGAATTTTTCTACAATAATTAAATCCCAAGAGAGGATGAGCTTCGCATTTCAAGAGGACTAGAGCGGGTATTTGATGTCCACACGCAAAAAAGAAAGAAAGAAAGAAAAAAAAAGGACGATTTGAGGCATAACTCGCGTCAAAGGACTCGGCGTCCCACCTTTAAATAAGGAAACGTACAAAGGCGGCTAACAGTTGTGCAAAATATTAATTTGCTAAAATATTTTACATAATCAGTACATGTAAATGTAGAAATCGGTAAAAAAAAAAAAAACCCACCAAAAAAAACCCCCAAAAAGACACAACAACCCAGCTGGTTTGTAGGAATTTGTCACACGTCAGTAACAGGATTTTCGCTGTCCCAGGGTGGAAATCCTCGCTCCCGAGGCGGGGGGGGG